AGCCAGCTGTCAATCCCACAGCTGGGTGGATCTGTCCCGTCTGCGGCGTCTCAGTATACCGCGAGCTGTAGCTCGCCGTATACCGAGCTTAGGGTGACGGGAGGAAGCTAGTTTGTGTCCTCCCGTTACCCTTTGGAGAACTAAGGGGAAAAGCCCTGACCCATAGTTCTCCTTTAAGCAGCAGAGGGATTCATTTTAGTGACAATACGAAGGCTGGGTACACACTAGAGCTGCAGCTAACGATTATTTTCAAAATCGATTAGTTAGCCGATTATTAAGTTCGATTAATCGGTTAATCGGATAAACAATAAAAAAAAAAAAAAAATGGCTCCAGTGATGGGACTACTAGTTTGTATTGAGATTGTACTCCATCACAGGAGCAAGCTTGGAGCGGTGGAAAAAAATAGTGTGGTGTGCAATATAGTGAAAAGGAAAGTGTAAAATTATACAGCAATGAATGCAGAATTGCACCGGCTAGAGGACTACAAATCCCAGCAATAGTACATTTATACAGCGCAATGCAGAATATCACCAGCTATAGAGGACTACAACAAATCCCAGCAATAGTACATTATAGCTGGTGGTATTCTGCATTGCGCTGTATAATGTAAGATAAATGTATCTGATCATTTTAGATATGCCTGCCTTTAAAGTATTTGCCTTTTTATGCCAGTATGCCATAGTCAACGGTGCCAAAAGCCAATTTATCATTGGTGACACTTCTATTTTTTTCAAGCACGTTGTCCTTGAGAAAATACCATTAACATTAATTGTAAGTTGTAATCACACTTATACTGTACACTTGTATCACATAATATTTTATTAGTGTTTTCCAAACATAACACAATTTGAAAAATTATGTTGCAAAAGCAGAATACAACCTAAGGGTCTATTTTGCAAAACTCCCTTTTTTAGAAAAATGTATAATTTCTATAGGAAATTCAAATTTCTTTGAGTTATGTGAATATGTTTTCTTCCTATTTAAAAAGTAATAATTTAAGGATATCTGCAAGTTTAGCAGACAAGCTTGCTTGTTTTTTGTTATTAGTTGGGTGTTTTTAGAAGCCATTTTTTGAAGTTGTGTTTGCTTGCCCATCAACAGTCGATTCATGAATGTGATTGCAATGACAGTCATAGATATATGATGGCAGATTAGACTGAATGAGAAAAGGAGGCCCCTTAAAATTCAGTTTGCAGGCAGTGTTTGATAAGAGAAACGGTTAAGGTACATGGACCACTGTAAACCCATTTAAGTTTTTATTTTTTATGAGATGTGCTTTTATGTTGTATTATTGTGTCAGAGGTCAACAAATGCTTCTTTTTTTCCACTTTTAATTTAACAATGACATATACAGTATACCTGTATTGGGTAAGTCACCTACTTTTGTAACATTAGATATTCACTCCATAGAGTCTGTTCAGAATCCAACTCATCAAATACCTCTTGGGTCCTATCACATATCAAGAAAAACACTCATAAGACCACAAGTAATCATGCATAAGCTGCTTGGATGCGTATTGGTCATCAGTGACCATTCTACTTTCTGCCCCTCTATCTAGGCAGCCTCTATTTACTCTTAGACTCTTACAAGCTCCCAGATTTCATAAAGGTGGGATAAAAAATGTGTGCCACAGACAGATAATATAGGCAATCATTTTGTATTGTTTATCACTAGTGGGAAAGAAGAGAAGGGACACGATGGTGGCTTAATCCACAAGTAATTGACTTACCTCTCCACATTATGAGTCATGCTCCCAACATTTTAACTTAGGTGGCAGCGGCGATCGTGAGGTGGGGAAGAGTTGCGGCGCGCAGCGTGTGTGGAGCCGTGAACAGGGCCAACTGATCGGAAGCCGATCGATTATTGAAAAAGTTGACAACTTTTTCAATAATCGATTATAATCGATTATTTTGATTAGTTGTTGCAGCCCTAGTACACACTACTGCATTGTGGTAAATGCACGTTTCTGTGCGTTGCATTTAGAAAGATTCACTAGTGCCACACAACTGCTCGCAGCCAATTCAATAGACAGTGCAAACCCGGTGTTCTATAATTTTTCTAGACCTCATAAGAATGCTGGACCGCATCACCAGAAGTTAAAGGCATGCTAGACCCAACGTGCATGTGCCTTGTTCTATCATTTTTCTTAACCCATAACATTTCTCATCGCCTCACAGGCCGGCCCTGGTTTTCAGCAGCAGGACCTCCAACACCACCCGGCGAGTTGCCTTTAATTTTCCTCGACTGCGTCACTTCCATGAGCACATGTACACAAAGAAAGGGTGTCAGGAAAACAGCCGATTCGGATAACATAGCCACATTGGAAGTGATGCGGTCGAGAAATTTTATGGGTTGAGAAAAATTTTACAACAAGGACGCATGCGTGTTGAGCCTAGCATGCCTCCAACAGCTAAGGCCGTGTCCCTGGAAGTGACGTGGTCCAGCATTCTTATGGAGGTCCAGAAAAATGATAGAACCCCAGCTTTAAAGCCAAAACTTGTTTTCTTTATGTTGAATAGAATAGGGGAGGGCTAAAATTCCAATCAGTTTGTGTCCCACTTGGAAAGTTTCCCTTCACTTCCTGTCCCGTAGGCCAGTGCTCCCCAACCTTTTTATCGCCGCGGACCGGTCAACGTTTAATAATTTTACCTTGGCCCGCTGAGGGGGGGCGTTGATTGTTTATATTTTATAATATATATATCATTATTATAATTAATTATAATAATAATATACAGATGCGGCTCTCTAATCGCGCAGCCGCTCGCTTCTCAAGGGTATACCGAGGTGATCCGGGCTGGCTGGAGCAGGCAGATGCGACCCTCTAATCATGTATGTTAGACAGAGGGCCTCCCGAGTACCCCTTGAGGAGTGACAGCCACACGATTAGAGAGCCGCATCTGTAGCGGTGCATGTGGCAGATAGGCGGCGGAGGGAGGGAAGCATTGCACCTGCGGCCGGGTGCTTCATTTAGTGGTGGGGGGGGGTGACACCCGCGGGCCCTCGGCTGGTGGTATTCAGCATTGCTGTATAATCATTATACAGCAATGCCGAATACCACCCAGCTACAGTCCCCCAATCCCCCCATGCCAGCCATCACCCACAGACTCCCCAACCTTACCTACATCCAGGCTGCAGCACCTCTCCTTGGCGGCCAGTGGAGGGGAGGGGTCACAGGAGAGCGTCCTCACTCACGCTGAACTGTGCGGCCCGGTACCATTTGATCCGCGGACTTGGGGAACACTGCCGTAGGCACACCAGGAAGCGAGAGTGAATCTCTCCAGAGTGAAGAAACTTCTCAATTTGTTGTCCCCACTAACGTCCCAATTGTTTGATCCCCCCTTTATTCCTGTTCTGGGGACACGTTTGGATTTCGCATCATTTTCAGTTTAGGTAAAACGTTATTGTTCCAGGCAACGCAAGTTGGAGCCCACCCCAGGGACTAGGTGTGATCTCAGGTTCGGACCGAACCACCGTCTAACCCTGAACTCCTCTGAACCCAGAACGTGCTCCTCCCGCATATGGAAGGAAGCTCCTTTGGTGACAACTAAGAGTATTTCTGATCACTTCCTGTTGGACAAAACATTCATTTACACAATCCCTGTAACCACAGTTTAGCAGGATGCTGTTCCAAGTTGTATATGGTTAGATATAGAATATGAAGAGCGATGAAGATGGACAGACTGGGGATGGGAACACAGGAAATCTGTCTCATAGCAGTGTCCTAGGTGTCACTGGGACAGGTGAGGGGGTATTATCTCGGCAGAGACACAGACAGTAACAAATAACAAAGGATCTAATAATATTATTATAAAATAGTTCAATTGTATCACCCGGCTGCAGATCTCCGGATCCACTCATGTGATGGACTATAACTTTAACACAAATCAGCTAAGTGTGAGATTGCAGTCCATCACAGGAGCGAGCTTGGACCGGTGACTACTTGACAACACACACAGGGACTATGGGGAACAAAAGTAGCCCCCCTCCAGAAGGAAGGACAGTGTCAGCACCAATTCAGAGATGATTGGAGGATCTACAGCCGAGTGATACACAAATAAGATACATTGTTGTTACTAGTTAAAGGAGAACTATGAGGAGTGATTTCCACTCATCCTCATAGCAAGAGCCGACCTGTCAGAAAGAAGCTGTCACAGGTCGGCTCTATCGATCGGGAAGTGAGCAGAAACATGCCGCCGATCTGCTCACTTCTCGATCGTCTCCCTGCAGTAAACGGTGACTGTCAGTCACTGCCCCCTGCAGGGATTTCCTTCCCTCCCCGATTCTCCAGCGCTGAGTGGAGGAATAACCAGGAGAGGGGGCGGGCACAGCCGGGCTCTGCCTCTAGATAGGCAGAGCCCGCTGCCACTTACACAGCAGGGTGGATCTCAACAGTAATGTCTGGATCCGTCACGGCTGCGGCACTTACATTGCACGCGATATACTGAGCTTTGGGTCACGGGAGAACGCTAGTATATGTCCTCCTGTGACCCTAAAGAGAACTATGGGGGAAAACACTAACCCCCATAGTTCTCTTATAAGGTACTTGAATAAATTTTTAGTGTCTGGCAGAATTCAAGGTCTTATGTATAACCTGTGCGTAGGAACCAAGAGGCTTCACAAGGAGACAGGAATTGACCTGGGGACTAAATCAGGTACTTGCTAGCACCATAAGGAACCATATTTCAGCAGCTCTGTTACCTTATATTTAGATTTTAGGGCAGGATCAGTTTAATATAAAATCTGTAATCACTAAACACACGACTATTTCCCTTTAACTTTCAGTGAAACTTGAGAGACTTTAGACTACAGAAGACATTAAGAACCTCATTACTTGCTGCAGCCCGGAGCTACAAGCTAGCAGCTCATTTGTCTAACAATAATTAGAGGATAATAGGATGCCAGGGAGAGGTATCACATTAACACTGCACATTGAACACAGTACATTAGGTCCACAACGCTATAAATAAACTACAGCTAAGCGCAGTAATGAGCACTGACCTTTCGGCTTCCGTATGCTCCCCGATTCCGACACGCTCAAGTTACTAACGGATACCGCTTCAGAGTCCTGGCTCTCCGTGCCGTTACCGGTCCAGTCCCCCTGCTGGCTCCCATGCTCCCAGGCATCCTGCAGGTCATCACTGGTAGCTCCAACCGGCAGAGTGGCAGTCGCCGAGAGACCTCTGCCCACCGCCGACCTTGAGGTGACGTCAGCGTAGCTGAACTGCGTGTCGCTTCTGGTCACGCTGTCCATGGTGGCTGCATAATCCAACATGAGCGTGGCTTCTTCATCCTGAGTAAGCAGGGACTGTGGAATAAACACAGCGCTGGAGCATCAGTTAACATTGATCTTTCGCAATCAAAGATTGGTGGACAAATCCCAGGAGCTGGGGCGCCGGAGAGCCTAAATATTACAGCTTGGTATTTCTGAGCCTTGTTAATGTTGGTGCGAGTACGGGTTCCCTTAAAGGCAAGCTATAGTCTCTTTAACCCCTTCCCACCCATTGCAACCATAGGTTATTATTATTATTATTATACAGGATTTATATAGTGCCAACAGTTTGCACAGCGCTTTACAGTATAAGGAAGACATTACAATCGCAATACAATTCAAGACAAGATGGTAAGGAGGGCTCTGCCCCTGAGGGCTTACAATCTAAAAGGGAGGGGCAAGTGATACATGAGGAGGTAGCTGTGTGGGGATGAATTGTTTGAGAATGTGATAGTTCAGTGGTTATGTTGAGGTGGGATAGGCTTCCCTGAAGAGATGAGTCTCTAGGGATCGCCTAAAGGCAGTCAGAGTGGCAGATAGTTGGACAGGTTGGGGTAAAGAGTTCCAGAGCATGGGAGAGACTCTAGAGAAGTCTTGGAGGAGAGTATGGGAGGAGACGACAAGGGAGCTGGAAAGCAGGAGGTCTTGGGAAGAGTGGAGGGGACGTTAGGGTGATATTTTGAGACAAGATTGGAGATATAGCCGGGGGTCAGAGTTGTGGATGGCTTTGTAAGCGATGGTTAATATTTTGGATTTTATCCTTTGGGCGAGTGGAGGCCAGTGCAGGGATTGGCAGAGGGGGCTGAGTGATGGAAGCCAGTGCAGGGATTGACAGAGGGGGTTTGCAGACACTGAGCGGGTGGTCAGGTGGATGATTCTAGCATTCATGATAGACTGAACGGGGGAGGAGCCTGTGTAGAGGTCGGCCAATGAGGAGGGAGTTGCAATAGTCAAGACGAGATATAACAAGGGAGTGGATGAGTAATTTTCCGGTGTCCTTGGTGAGGAAGGGGCGTATTTTGGAGATGTTACGAAGGTGAAGGCGGCAGGATTTGGATAGTGATTGGATGTGGCGAAGAACGGTGAGGTCCGAGTCAAGGATCACCCTAGCACCTTGGCATGGGGGGAGGGGTGGAGAGTTGTGTTATCAATGTCAAGGGAAATGTTGGGGGAAGGTGCACGGGCAGGAGGAAATATCATGAGCTCAGTTTTTGAAAGATCGAGTTTTAATGTTTCATGGGCGACATTAAAAGCGGAACTCCAGGAAAAATACATTTTTATACACCGCAAGGTAAAATAGGGTTCCTCTAATTAAAAGTCTGAATGCTACCGGCTAATGCAAAAATCATTGCTGCTCTGATGTCGGATCCTACCGTCGCTCCGGGGGAGGAAGAGACGAGGCTGCGACAATGAAGCGCTCCAGTCGTATACTCTCCCCCTTCTCTCCACTGATCCATTCACAAAGAGCCTTATAGTCTTTTCACAGAATACAAGATGTTCTGTAAATGGACATGGGGAGATCATGTTGTATACCCCTCCTTCTCTGCCGTTGTCCATTCACAGAAAGCCTTGTAATACTTACCTTATTCCTCGCTCTGGCAAGCTTCCTCCAAGCTGTCCCCACAAGCCTCTCCTCTAAGGCACTCTGGCTGGTGGTCGCACTCCGACAGCATCATGTACAATGCGGGACCAATAGTCCTGCATTGTATAGGACGATGGCAAGGGTCCATCTACAACATTGGAGAGGAGAGGCCAGCTCTGCTGTGAGGAATAAGGCAGGTATTTCACCTACCCCTCGATGTAACAAACATTTAACCCTTAGAGTGCGGGGCCCATTGCAAAGGGTTTTTATTTTCAATTTGCAGGGTTCAGCTTTTAACATTCATCTAACTGCAGTGTAATGAAAATATGAACATTTGACACATTCCACAAAAACCAAATTTGTATTTGATCAGCAACTTCCATCCCTTGTATACAGCAAACACGACCTTGCAAAACACACTCACCTTGGAAATTCCGGATATGATTATCGTACTCTTCTTGCGGGGAGATTTCAGCGACTGCTTTGACGACTCCCTGAGCTGTCTTATGGCAGCTTCTGCGACTGGATCAGAGCCGTTCAGCATCAAGAGCTCTATGTCCAAGAGAATAAAACAATGGTACCACATTAACAAAGCGCTCGTTGGTCACATGACCTAACCAAACATGGAAGCCGAGTCCTGGATGCCATACCTGTGTCTGAAGAGGACAGGGCCTTGCTAACCACACCGCTGTGAGATGGGATGGCCTGTACAGAGAAGTCTCTCTCAATGACTTTTACTTTGGGTGGAGTGCTGGCTGGTGAATCTGATGGACACAAAACAGACAAATGACATGAAAATTACACGACTGCTTTCGCAAATATCTAAAATTAATCCCTAAGCCTAACACAAACGGATAAAAATGACTTATCAGTAATGACACCAACATGTAGGATTTCAGTGATTGGGCTTACATCAACCAAACCGGGAGGGAACCTAGAGACATGCCAAAACCTAAAGATCGCTAGAGTTAAGCTGGCCACACATGGCTGGAATTTCTGTGAATTGTCTGATTCGATTTGTGGGTGGCCCTGCCGATACCGCCCGCCTTGACAAACTGTTTTAAAAATGGGAGGAAAAAGATTGCCAAATCAGCTGCATTGACATTAGGGTATTCAGACCGCTGTGAATGCCAGATGTCGGAATACAGTAACCAGTGGGGGAGATTCCTCCATCTGTGCCGGCGGGGAAATCTGGTTATTTCCCTCCATTGCTGGACTGAACGAGAAAAATCTTTACTTCTGTAGCTGGTTTTACAAGATGATCTGATCCAACCAATTTCAGCGCTGAGGAGTAAACGCAACCTTTTGGATCAGAAAGCTATGTACAGACCCCGGCTGGCATTTCTCACGAGTCATGATCTGCCTGCACTGCACAGAGACCCAGTGATGATATCACTGGATCTAAAATACGGTCTGTTTTGGAAACGGAGATATTTTATTTAATTAGCATGCCGATGAGGGGGAGAGGAGGGAGCAGGAAAGGCAAACTATAAGCAGATTAAACTTTAGTGAGTCACCTACACCTACAAAAAGCAAGGAAGTCTTGGGTTTTCACTGGGTGCCTTGACTTCTGCCCAAGTAGGCAATACTCCTCGCTCTGTGTCATTCAAGAGTTCAATTCCAGAACCTCAGTTCCACTAGAGGCTCCCACTATTCCTGTGTGGAGTTCCCAAGCCTGTACACCTGCTGTACCCATTATGAGGGGCTCCCACCATCCCTGTGCTGAGTTCCGGGTCTGTACACCTGCTGTGCCCATTATGAGCTCCCACCATCCCTGTGCTGAGTTCCGGGTCTGTACACCTGCTGTGCCCATTATGAGCTCCCACCATCCCTGTGCTGAGTTCCGGGTCTGTACACCTGCTGTGCCCATTATGAGCTCCCACCATCCCTGTGCTGAGTTCCGGGTCTGTACACCTGCTGTGCCCATTATGAGCTCCCACCATCCCTGTGCTGAGTTCCGGGTCTGTACACCTGCTGTGCCCATTATGAGCTCCCACCATCCCTGTGCTGAGTTCCGGGTCTGTACACCTGCTGTGCCCATTATGAGCTCCCACCATCCCTGTGCTGAGTTCCGGGTCTGTACACCTGCTGTGCCCATTATGAGCTCCCACCATCCCTGTGCTGAGTTCCGGGTCTGTACACCTGCTGTGCCCATTATGAGCTCCCACCATCCCTGTGCTGAGTTCCGGGTCTGTACACCTGCTGTGCCCATTATGAGCTCCCACCATCCCTGTGCTGAGTTCCGGGTCTGTACACCTGCTGTGCCCATTATGAGCTCCCACCATCCCTGTGCTGAGTTCCGGGTCTGTACACCTGCTGTGCCCATTATGAGCTCCCACCATCCCTGTGCTGAGTTCCGGGTCTGTACACCTGCTGTGCCCATTATGAGCTCCCACCATCCCTGTGCTGAGTTCCGGGTCTGTACACCTGCTGTGCCCATTATGAGCTCCCACCATCCCTGTGCTGAGTTCCGGGTCTGTACACCTGCTGTGCCCATTATGAGCTCCCACCATCCCTGTGCTGAGTTCCGGGTCTGTACACCTGCTGTGCCCATTATGAGCTCCCACCATCCCTGTGCTGAGTTCCGGGTCTGTACACCTGCTGTGCCCATTATGAGCTCCCACCATCCCTGTGCTGAGTTCCGGGTCTGTACACCTGCTGTGCCCATTATGAGCTCCCACCATCCCTGTGCTGAGTTCCGGGTCTGTACACCTGCTGTGCCCATTATGAGCTCCCACCATCCCTGTGCTGAGTTCCGGGTCTGTACACCTGCTGTGCCCATTATGAGCTCCCACCATCCCTGTGCTGAGTTCCGGGTCTGTACACCTGCTGTGCCCATTATGAGCTCCCACCATCCCTGTGCTGAGTTCCGGGTCTGTACACCTGCTGTGCCCATTATGAGCTCCCACCATCCCTGTGCTGAGTTCCGGGTCTGTACACCTGCTGTGCCCATTATGAGCTCCCACCATCCCTGTGCTGAGTTCCGGGTCTGTACACCTGCTGTGCCCATTATGAGCTCCCACCATCCCTGTGCTGAGTTCCGGGTCTGTACACCTGCTGTGCCCATTATGAGCTCCCACCATCCCTGTGCTGAGTTCCGGGTCTGTACACCTGCTGTGCCCATTATGAGCTCCCACCATCCCTGTGCTGAGTTCCGGGTCTGTACACCTGCTGTGCCCATTATGAGCTCCCACCATCCCTGTGCTGAGTTCCGGGTCTGTACACCTGCTGTGCCCATTATGAGCTCCCACCATCCCTGTGCTGAGTTCCGGGTCTGTACACCTGCTGTGCCCATTATGAGCTCCCACCATCCCTGTGCTGAGTTCCGGGTCTGTACACCTGCTGTGCCCATTATGAGCTCCCACCATCCCTGTGCTGAGTTCCGGGTCTGTACACCTGCTGTGCCCATTATGAGCTCCCACCATCCCTGTGCTGAGTTCCGGGTCTGTACACCTGCTGTGCCCATTATGAGCTCCCACCATCCCTGTGCTGAGTTCCGGGTCTGTACACCTGCTGTGCCCATTATGAGCTCCCACCATCCCTGTGCTGAGTTCCGGGTCTGTACACCTGCTGTGCCCATTATGAGCTCCCACCATCCCTGTGCTGAGTTCCGGGTCTGTACACCTGCTGTGCCCATTATGAGCTCCCACCATCCCTGTGCTGAGTTCCGGGTCTGTACACCTGCTGTGCCCATTATGAGCTCCCACCATCCCTGTGCTGAGTTCCGGGTCTGTACACCTGCTGTGCCCATTATGAGCTCCCACCATCCCTGTGCTGAGTTCCCGGGTCTGTACACCTGCTGTGCTCACTATGGGGGCTCCCATCATCCCGTCTGGATTTTGTATTATGGTATGGAGAATGTAATGGGAGGATTTGGAACACACAAAGGTGGACGGAAGCTCCCAAAACAGCATTTCAAATGATGGTGGAGAGATTTCACAGTTGTAATATCCAAGCCATATAAGAAACCAAAAGGCCCATCATTTTCCACCTATAGCTAAAATGTAAACTTTGCATGGACAGACCCTTTAACTAAAAAAAATGTAAACCCATAAGGGATATCTTTTTTTAATTCATCAAAGTCTACAGGTGACCAAGTTGGCGTTTCTTAACCTACCGGAAGATTTTTCAGAGAAGCTCGCCGAACTCTTGCCATCCGGTCGCGGTTTGGATGTCACAGAGGTAACGGTGGTGACCACGGTGCCGCAGGGCATCACGGTACGGTCCATCTCAACTTTCTTCGCCGGCACCGGAACTGGGACGGTAAAGGATTTCAGCTCATTTGGTTCCACGAACAAGAACTTGAATAAATAACACAAATTAATTAATTTCACTGTGAAGGAGAAAACAATCGTCTACACAACCAGTGGATGAATGATAAGGAAACGTCTTCCTCTAATATAACAGACAAAGTAACCGGGACAAATCTGCAGACATAAAACTAGGCCACGCTTTCTAGCCAAATAGATTAATTCCATAGGAGGATGTGCAGAGGTGTCATATGTAGTAACCCATAGCAACCACCGAAATCACTAAAATGAACCCGTTACCGGTTGAACTTGATATCAAAGATGCACCAATACCAGTTTTTCGCTATCGAGTACAAGTACCGATATTTATATTTGGGTACTTACCGATACCGGTACTTGGGGACGGCTTCCCAAGGCAAAGCCGGCTCCATGGTGTTTGGCCGGCTCGATGCTAATTGGCTGGGATGCCGGCTTCCCGCCCAATCACCAAAGAGCAGGCTTCCTGGCTCAGGAAGCTGGAAGGCGTGTCATTACTAGGGATGCACAGATACTTTTCGAGTACCAGTACAGATACTTGGCATTTTCATGAGAACTACCAGGGTTGCAGCGGTTGCAGCTGGGGCCTGGCTCTGGCGCTCCACCACTGTCCTGAAATCATTAGTCTGTATTGTTTTAGAAAAACTGTCACATGACAATAAACAAAAATGTATCAGTACTCGTACTTGTACCGAGTACTGTACTTGGTATCTGTGCAACCCTAGTCATTACCCGCTGTCCGGCTTCCTAATTGGCCGGGAAGCCATATCAATGAGGTATCGGTGCTTTTAGGTTTTGCACTCTATCCTAACATTTCAATCATTGCTTTCAGGGCAGTTAGGGCATTAATTTGGTAAAAAAAATTTGAACACATATTAATTTTTATTTCTTTGGTTCCTAGTGGGAATAAAAAAATATAAATATATTCACCCAAAATAAAAACATCCGCTGATAAAAATGATGTCACATTAGAGCAACTTTTATGTAACGGAATGGTAAAGCTCAAAGTCGGCGTATGCTTTTTACGTTAGGAAATCTGTATTCTCCTTTCAGCTCTACATTCCCCTTGCACTACATTGCGCAAGGGGAAAAAACGATTTGCATAAATTCTTAACATAACATCGGGATGAGATTATGCCAGATCGTGGATGGCACATATTAGCGAGGCCGTGGCGTTTTCACATGTTTGCAATCGCTCAAATTCAAACGGCACTGCGTTCATTTACGTGACCATTTGATGCTTGCTTAGTAAAAGCAAATGTCACCCAGAATCAGTGCTGTGACCTGGGAATTCTTTATGGCAGGTTAGATTATTTTAAAAATAATTTTTGGGGAAATTATTATACATATATATATATATTAGCTTTCTCCTTCCTTAACTGACATGATCAGTATTGCTTCTGACCTGAAGAAGAGAGGTTCACTCTCCAAAGCTTGTCTTTTATATATTATGTTAGTCCAATAAAAAAGGTATCATTGCACACTGCAATACTGCGTTTTTGACATCTTGTCTACTGGACTAATACGGCTTACCCATTTATATTGCTATATATATATATATATATACACACACACACATACACACTAGGCCCCATTCACACTGAGCGATTCGCAAATCGCGCGTATTTTGCGCGATATCGCGCAAATGCTTGCATTGAGCAAGCTAGAATCGCGGCAAAATCCGCTCCAAAAAGGGTCCTACTGTAGCGACGCACGACAGCGACGGACAGAGCCCCATTGCCATGCATTGGAGCGCGATAAATCGCTCAGTGTGAACGGGGCCTTATGTGTATATATATATATATACACATATACAGACAAACAGCCACTGTCCTCTAAAATGGCACTATTAAGAAAGAAAAAATATATAACAATATTAAAGAAAGATATTAAAATATCAGAAATGGATGGCAGCTTGTAGGAGGAGGGAAGACAGGAAAGACCTCTTTTATTGTCCAATCAGCAGGCAGATGACACGGGAAGCTGCAATAATAGACTGCGTTGCCACCAGGTACCTGGCTAGTTATGTAGCATGACAACTGTGTGTGAATCACAAAACTTCATGAGCAGAACCACACATTTTTTAAAGGGCAGAGGAGCCTTTTTATTCATACACATTATATATTCAACTTTAAATAAGAGCACTGTGCCCCATAAAAATAAATGTGAAAAAGCTCTTCATTACAATGCTTTGAATATAAAATGTCCCATATCTGCACAGAACATGTGTCTAATGTTAAGTGATTGTTAACACCTTGTGCGGTGGGGTGCAGAAAACTGCAGCTCAGTGATATGGTGCGAACAAGCCCCAAGCCCAGCTTGTGCTTAATACTCAGCTTCGATCAACAGCAGTCTCCTCTAGTACCTCTTTTTTAACACAAGATGTCCTTAGTTTTTCGGGTTGAATGACAGCCATCATCACTCAACCAGAAGAATAAGAACAGACCGAGAGAAGGGTGTCACTGCCCCACACCTTGAGCATGCCACCCCCTACTTAAAATGTACTGATGCAGAGAACAGTTCAGGGATGCTCTATACATTATCCATGACCACCTACAGATGGGAAAAGACTGGAGGAGGAAGAGGGGCTGCGATGCCATGTGACCAGCAAAAATATCAGAAAAAAAAAATCACAACATACTGCTGTTTGGACCTAAAGGGAGTGGGGGGGGTCCATGGTTCCCATTTTTAAGCTTTAACATGTAGCCCAATGCTCTATGCATCCTGCCTCAGCCTGCAGTTTCCTCATAGTTATGAAGCTAGCCGGGCCCTATAAAATATCCCCTCTGCTGCAACACGGTCATATTAAATCTCTGTTCATAACCTACTGAAACATTTAAACCATTAAAATGCTCTCACACAAACCAGATTATACAGATGTCATCACATATGTAGAGCAGTCACATTGGTACCTACCTGAGCGCTGATCGATCCAGATCCAGAGCTGAGCGGAAAGCTTTGCCTCCCCGATGGGTTCTTCCTGAATAGGTCTAAAGGGACTGTCGCCCAGGTCAGGGGGGGACCTTTAAGAAAAGCAAAGCGGTCGTTACATCCCTTGTATACAGTAGATGACTATGCAATACATAGTATAATATATAGCCCTGTACACAGTAGATGACTATACAATGCATAGTATAATGTATAGCCCTGTATACAGTAGATGACTATACAATGCATAGTATAATATATATAGATCGGGAAGTGAGCGGACACATACCGTCGCACGCTCACTTTCCGATCATCTCCCTGCAGAGAGCGGTGACTGCCAGTCACCACTTCCCGCAGAGTTTCCTCCCCTCCCTGATCCTCCAGCGCTGAGTGGAGGAACGAACAGGTAAGGGGGCGGGCACAGCTGGCTGTGCTTCTAGATAGGCAGAGCCAGCTGTCACTCACACATCTGGGTGGATCTCGACCGCATTGTCGGGATTCTTCCCTGCTGCGGGGGTCTCGGTATATAGTGAGCAATAGCTCGCTATATACTGAGCTTTGGGTCACGGGAGGACGTTAGAATATGTCCTCCCGTGACCATGAGGAGAACTATGAGATAAAAAGGTTACCTCATACTTCTCTTTTAAAGCACAGCTGGAGGGCCGCAGTTGCCCACCTCTGGTTTACTGCATTGTAAAACCGCCAATCACTATACTTACTGTCTGCAGGTTTTCCAGCTTCAGAGATCTGGAGAAGGAGCTCTTTGGATTTTGCATTCAGTTCTCTATTGACCGAACAGAAAGAAAAAGGGATGAGTTAGGCCGAGAAAGCACATGAGAGATTCAGGACAAATTTAGAATTCAGTATTACAGCACAATGACACATAGTACCAAATGAATAGGCCTAGAGCTGAAATGTGAATGTGTAAAGAAGAATGGAAGCTAAAATAAATAAAATAAATAGCCCATTAGAATCAAAAATAAAAAAGCAGCTTTTAGCAATTTATTTATGACTGGTATTTGTATAGCGCCGACAATTCACGCAGAACTTTACATAATACACATTTTTTGTTTCAAAAAAGATTTTAAAAAGTAACAGTACAGTAAATTACCTTAACAAGATAGAGAGAAAAAAAAAAAATCAACATAGGAAGAGCCAGATTTACAGTACAGCCAGAACAGTGTACGTAACAAATCAAGTGAAACAAAAAGGAGAGATGGAAGCGCCACGACCGGGGGGGGGGGGGGGAAAA